TTTGATTACACTGTCCAGCTATCTCGTCCTCTGTTGTCCCCTTCTCCTCTTGCCCTCACACTTTCCCAATATCAGGGTCTTTTCCAGGGAGTCTTCTCTTCTCATCAGATGGCCAAAGTACTGGAGCCTCAGCGTCAGGATCTGTCCTTCCAGTGGGCACTCAGGGTTGATTTCCTTCAGAATGCATAGGTTTGTTCTCTTTGCAGTCCAGGGGACTCTCAAGAGTCTTCTCCAGCACCACAATTCAAAAGCATCAATTCTTCAGCAGTCAGCCTTCTTTATGGTCCAGCTCTCACTTCCATACATTGCTATTGGAAAAACCATAGCTTTGACTATGTGGACCTTTGTTGACAAGGTGATGTAATTTGTGAATTCTGAAAACCTATCAAAATGTGAAGAACAACAACAAATTCTATCCACCCCTAGTTCAAACATCCGCATCATTGCATACTGAGATAGGTAGGAGGAGCATATCCATGAACAGGTGTGAACACTGGTTCATGCAAGTGCTTATGCGACTGAGAAGAGAGCACGAAGAAGGCTATGTGTCTGCACGTACACTCAAGCATGTCCATAGCCAGTGCTTGACGTCACTGCTGATAACCACATGTGACCCTTGAAGGCAACTTCCAAAGCATCTGGACTCAGAGAAATCTGATAAGCACTGAGGAATGCAGGTTTAAAATCAATTCTCTATCATGTCAGTATTAAGGGCTTGATTTATTTCAGCATTAGCCCTCCAAGAAAGAACTGCTGCAAGTGGAACAGAACAACAGTATGCATGGTGGATTACAGAATATGGAAAGAAAAGTAGTCGTCCCAGTTTATATTCCACAGCTGATGAAGCCCTGGGTAGAGAACACTACTTTGCAGGTTCAGAGATTCAAACTATTTATTCACAAGAGCACATCACAACAGTCCCTCACTCCCTATTTTGTTCTCTACTTGCCACATACCATTTCAGAATAACACACACAAACACACATCAATATCTAGAATGTCTTTTGAGTGAAACATAGCCAGCAACCATTCATCCTAAAATCATTTACATAATTTTAATGTTTACATGTCAAGCTTGACCACATCTTCTTCCACCAGTTTGATAACTGAACCTTGCTTTAGGGCAGCTTGAGTTCAATTGACTTGTGGGACAAATCAATCTTTATCTCTGACTTGTTAACAAAGTCATGGGGAAGACAACATTAATGCCATCATTTATCTTTGATACATAAGGTGGATAAACCAAAGAGGTAAACCAAATCTAAGAAGCTTTTTGTACAGGGATCGCAGAAGCCTGTGCTGCAGGGTCAGAAGACCAAGCAGTCGTAAGATCGAATCCACGCGACAGAGTGAGCGCCCGTCGCCTGTCCCAGCTCCCGCCAACCTAGCGGTTCAAAAGCATGCAAATGCGAGTAGATAAATAGGTACCATCTTGGTGGGAAGGTAAACAGCGTTCCGTCTCTAAATCACACTGGCCATGTGACCACGGAAAGATTGTCCTCGGACAAACGCTGGCTCTATGGCTTGAAGAGCGGGATGAGCGCCGCCCCCTAGAGTCAGACACGACTGGACAAAAAATTGTAAAGGGGAACCTTTACCTTTACCTGGAACTAAACTCAAATCTAAAATCAGCTGGTGCCTGAACCTCACCCCCAATTCAAGGCTCGAACTAAGTTGTTCAAATAATATCAGTGTCAGACTGGGTGGTTTCTTTCTTTCTTTTTTTAGAAGAGCATCTCTTTTCTGAAACCTTGAAAAGACAACCAACAAAATAAAACATTTGAGACAGGACCCAGGTTAGTCTATTTATGCGTGTGAAGCACTTTTGCACCCATATGGTTTTGTTTTACCGATTTCTCTTTGCAAAAATAACGCATCATGTCTCATACAGTGCTACTCCACAGGACTGCACAATTTTGAACTCAGGCTGGTGTTGTGCATTGGCCATGGATAGGAGGGAAAGGCTAAGGAGTGCTATGCATGCATGAAATACTGCATAATAGGGTTTGAATGCACCCTACATGTTCTAGCAATGTACAGGAGAAAGAAGAGAGAGTACATGTTGGGATTCCTAGTTGTCCTGTCTCTCACATTACTTTTTCAGACAGGAAAGAAGCAAAAACTAATCTAAAGGACTTGTGGACTAGACATAATTTCAGAATTTATAAGAGGGGCAAATATTCCAAAATTATAACTGGAAACTCCCAAAGACACTAAGGATGGATACAGACGCCAGATTCTACACTCAACACACCTGATGTCTAGTGAAGTTCTTCCAAAAAGTTGGTAAACATGTGTTGTTCTTCAGAGAATTAACTAGCATGGATGTCGTCTTAAACTACCTCTGATTAGTTTTACCAAGTAAATAAAGAGGATCAGTTAGAAATGCCGTGATTTTTTTATGACAATTAAAACCCAACGACAATGACTCACATGTACGTTCACATTTTTGTCACACCACATTACTACATTACGTGGAATATGGGCAAACAATTCTTCTACCTGCCCTTCCCCAATTTAATACATTCTTCTTAAAGTCTATAAAAGCCCTTAGACAAAGATAGTCATATTTTCTGAAGATTGTCATAGATCCTAGTTTCTGCTGCTCCTGATCTGTTGTTATGGCAAGCGCAGGAGATCTTCAAGGGCAAAGATGGTCAGTGGACAACCTTTGGGTCTGTGCAATCCTTGGCAGTTTCCAACAGACTGACGGAGGTTCCCAAACCTTCTGCAAGCACTCACATCACCTCTACAGCTGCCACCTATCTTCCTAACCACTTCTCCAAGCAATATTCCCAAAAGCAGTCCATTCCCCAGCTATCATATTGGTGTCTCAACTCCTACACCTCTCCCTGGGCAAAGTTATTAAAAGCACCATCATTTCTATGGCTCCACCATTTCTACTGCTTCTCCCCCATTCTAGCTGCTATTTACCCTCTTGTCCGTTCCCCGTAGCTCATCTCTACATTCTGCCAGAAACCTGTGAGACACGCTCTTCTATCCTCTGATAGTGCTCCACATTCTCCTAAAGATCACAGGAGGGCACTCGGCCAGCTTTCTGCAGCACAGAGATGCCTGTGTCTAAGTGAGTGGCAGTCCTGCTGGTACTGTGGTCATCACAAGTCAGTAAATGATGCAGTGCGTAACAAAAGAAAGACATAATCCTTGCTACTGGTGCATCTCTGCTTCAGTAATTTTCTTGCAACTCTTCCAGCATGAAGAAAGGAGATGCTTTAATATTAGAAACTTTTTGCCAGTGGTCCTGCTGCCAGATTAGAACCAAAGGTAATGATCTGGTCATGATTTTCTGATACTACAGGCTCCCCTCTCCATCCTGAGGCTCTCAAAAGTTTTCCCCAAGCCAACAGGATCCCTACTGAGCCTCAGAACCAGATGGTAGGAGACAGGGAATGAAGTTTTACATTAAACTAAAATAAAGATTAACATTGCTGGGCGATGACATCATCAGCACTTATCCCTGGCAGAACTGTACGATAGGATTTCAGCTATTGAGTGTAACAGCTTGGCCATCAGTTTATATATACCGAATGCATGGTGGAAGGAAGGGGATCAAGTGAGGTTAGATAAGTGCTCCAGTTAGCAATCAAGTCAGAAGTGCTGATTACATATCCAACCTGTTGCCAACAATGACATGATGCTGAGACGGCACTGTATCAAGGACAAAAGTGCATATACAAAACTTTCTTTTTCTGTACAGCAGATCGCATTACTGGATTATGGCAATTTCAACAGTTTTAGACGCATGATTTAAGAGGGCAGTTCAATTAATGATAAGGATGCTTGTCAATTTTAATAAACAGCAAGTTTCAAGGCAAAAAATCCATGACAAAGGATATCTATCTGCAATACAAGAATTTCAGCCAGAAGCATACAGCTTACAAACTAGCCACTGGCTTAAGATAACTTAGGAAAGATTTTTTTTTTCGAGTTCTTCTTAGCAAAATAATCAGCATGGCAGCATTTTAAAAACACTGATGAAAGATGTGATTTCTAACTTCAACTCATGGAAAATCTGACCAGTTGCAAAGATAGGATTACTAGTAAAGATCTGTCATACATTATTAGTTCGTGCTTAGTAAAACTTTATATAGCTTTCTACTAACTCGATACAGGCAACACAAATTCTCACCTGTATTGACTTCTTTCATGTCTAAACTGTAGCTGGATGAAATCAAAGCCCTAGTACAAATGCTGCCCACTCCCAAGCCCAGCAGGTCTTAATGGGGAGCTCTTCCATGCCTTCTCATGTCTGCTTGGAGTGAGTAGGAGTAGGGTGCTACAGCATCAAAGGTATTGTTGAAAGGTACCAGCTTAGGATACCTTGCTTCACAGACCACAAGAAAGATAAGCTGTTTTAAAGTACAGGGTTGAACCAAAAGCAACTGAAAGGCTTGCATATCTCCCTGGAGCTATGATTCAGATGAAGTGAGCAAGATAATCTTTACTTTTCTCTTTTTAACCCACCCCCTATGGTCAAATGTCAGCACTAATTCTGTAACCATCTGCACAACACCATCAGTAAACTTCATGCCTTAAAGAATATTGGGACGGGGAAGGTTCTGTCCCCCAAGAGCTTATATTCTAGCAATGACATTGTAAGGGAGCAGAGGGGGGGCCCTCCTAGCAGGGGGGGCTCAATACCAAAATGATTTGGTGAGACCTCTCCCCCAATTCTCCAAGCCAACAGTGAGAGAGATACAACAGAGAGAGCAACAGAAGAAAGAAAAGACATAACAATATGCAAAACAAGGGACAGATCTAAAGCCATCCCAAATACTGGCCAGTATTTACACTGCCCTAGTATTTCAAATGCCTGTTTAAATAGTTACAAGAATGAAGCCACATACACATACACACGCTAAACTTTGACTAATTCCGGAAAGCCCATGAATAAAATTAGAAAACAGCTAATTCTAATACCACCCCAAGTATATTCATAAATATTTGAATAGTCTAGAGATTAAATATTAATTACTAACCTTAAAGCCAATGTGTAGGTTCCAGGTTGCCGCTGGCTTTCACGGATAAGATAACTTCCCTCCGCAACACTCAATAATTGATCTGCTTCTTCTCTTGATATCATCCCATGAAATCTGAAAAACAAAGTCCATGTTTACCGATCTAATAAAATAGTTGTTTCAAAAGAAGCATACACCAGGGGGAAAAAAACCCTCTCTGCTTTTTACACTTTAAAATAAAAAGCACTCTTTATTTTCAAAGACTCGAAGGAAACTAAAGTCAGTCCTGATTAGAATTATGTTAATTTTCTACTTAGCATATGGTTGGCTTGATGATTGGTAGATCTCAGTTATCAAGTGTGTGTGTATGTGTGTGTGTGTGTACATACACGGACACACAATTAAGTGTGTGTCCCATATTAGCTCCTCATCCAACTTTACTACTGCACGTTTCTCAACAAGCCAGTCTGACACAGTGCTAGATTTTATTAATACTCTCTGTATTAATTAACATAATTTGCATATATTTGTCCCAAGAGCATTTACAATTCTTCCTTCTCAAAATCCGCAATTAGTTTTGCTTTCTGTCCATGTCAATAGATTTTATGTGTTAAAAAACACCATGCCACTACTGCTACAGTATGGTTTTCTCACTACGTATATCACAGGGAACATCACCATGGCAAATGTCAATGCAGCAAGTGCCATCTGTAACACATGTCAACATCCACATTGTAAAATGTGACAATTCCAGATTAAGTCTATGAATGTCCAAAGCTACACAAATACACCCAGTGGATGTTGACAGTTTCCCCATTGAGACAGTCCATTTTAGAAGGATCCACATTTCCTCTGGGACATGGCGCAAAAGAGCAATACCATAAGCTGTAAGAAATGGCACAAATGAACAACAGGAATCAAAACTGATCTCTAACTGAAAGCGTTGTGGGCCCCAGTGAATACCCAGGGAACACAGGGTATTGGGTAGTGAGGACAGCTAAGATAATTAAGTTTTTTTTAAGACTCCCAGAACCCCCAGCCAGAACAACCGCCAATCAAACTCCAGCTCTAAAGGGGCACCCAAACAACATCACTACTGTGATTTTCTCTTTGACAGGCTGTCTTCTAACACACGTGGTTGTCTGTCCTTTATAAGATGAGAACTGACAACAGGCAAGCTCTTATTTGTGCCAGCAGTACTACTATAAAATAAGAAGAAGCTTTTCAGGTTAAGTTTACTGATGTTGTAAACTGATGTTCAGTTGATACTGGCATTATAACTTAACTCAAAGAATTCAGCTATGTATGCCTTCAGCAGAACCCATTTTGATCTCTCACGAATAGGACAACATTCACAAATCATGTATAATCTGGTATCACCTTGCTCAAGGGTTTTTGGGAATGGATGCACCCACTAAACATCAATGGCTTATATAGTTGCACAAGCAGGACAGATTAAGAGGCTACTGGGCTGTATAGTTAGAGGGAAGGAAGAAAATAATCGTACAAAGTTTCCAAATTGAATAAAAGGCATCTTAAAAAATACATTAATTATTTTCTTGTGTGTTGCTTGCTTGCACTAAGACAGAAATCTGCTGATCCAGGGATACCCCCGCTTGCCTTTAATACCTTCTTTCTGATGCCACTGTATTTGGGAAGCATGAAAACAAATTGGCTATAAATTGCTCTATCCAGTCTCAAAGGGAATAAAAAAGAAAGCTTTATTGTAATTTTGGTTTGGGGCTTTTTCTTTCTTTCTTTAAAAAACTCACACATTTTATTGTACTGTTATGAATTCTGATGAAAGCAGAAAACGTGTAAAATAAAAGCAATTTACTTCAAGTACAAAATGGGTAGCTTGTCATCAGAAATGCACAAAAATCTGACTTGAGTACTGAGGATGTACATGTCAACATTTCATTCTGTGACCTATTCATGATCGAATAAGACTGCCTGTGTTGAAAACACAAGTGAATTACAGAACCATCTTCTCTCTGTATACAGCCTCTGAATCCTGGAAGACAAATTAAGATATTTTATGAGCACACAAAGAAAAAGCACAGTAGCCACTGGGCATGGTTTTGGTGTTTTCACTGTACTTAATGAGTACTCTTAGCTCAAGGCAATGAATGTACAACAGCTCATTACTTACTCTCGCCCATAGTATTTTGGTCTCTTCTCTACCTATTGAAAAGAGGGAAAGAGTAGCAACATTTTACTTGCACAGTATTGCTTTCATTAAAAAGTTATTTTCATTTATTATGTAGCTTGCCTTCTGACTAGATAAATAAGAGTTACGCTCTACCTTCCTGCTACAACTTTTATGACTTTTAAAATCGTTAATATGTACAAAACATTGCTAAATTACTCTGCAAACGCTTTGTTTAAATGGTAAAGGAAAAAAAATAAAGAAAAGGGTTCATATAGCTATAATCATTATTATTATTTCCTGAGAATTTATGCTCTGAGGTAGATACCACAACTTTATTCATGAGCATCTCATGGAAATCAGTTGCATATGGGGAAAATCGTCCCCACATAAACCACAATCTACACTGCAGCAAAAGTTCTGAAATGATGAACCCAGCATTAAATTATAAGCTGGAGAAGCTTTGTAAAACACGCAGAAGAAATAACAATGCTGCACTGGCAGAATGAAAGTCTCATAGTGGCACTGATATGTGTAATTTTAAAAAATAAACTGCAAAAAGGCTGGGCACAAAGCAAAAACAGCTAGAACACTGGGTGTCACCGTGCATTATGCTTCAAACCAGACATTGTCTGGACCTAGCAGCTTCTTTTAACAGGCCTGTAACACACAGAAGGCAATGTTCATAAAGACGATCTGCTCTGCAGGAACCAATTTAACAGGAAACCTGCCAACTGCTTCTTGGCCATCTAAAAAGGGCTCCTTAGGACAACGTTGTTTGTAGCTACTACTCACTCAGGCTTGCTCGTAATTAGCACCACATTATGGGCAAAATCTTTCTATGTAGCAAGGGGGAGAGCCATACTAATTAATTCAATCATCTGGTCCGCTTGATATCATTTCACTTAAGATTATTTTAACTTCATGGTGAGACGCTCAGCTTTGACAGCAAAGGGCATCTCACCTGTGTACGTCACACACACAAACAAACACACACAGAGGAAACAGCAATGAAGCATTCAGCCTTTTAAAGTTCATTTTGGATTTATTAAAACAGCTGCAGATATCAGCATTATTATTTTCACTAACATTTGTTTTATTGGTTTTATAAATACACCCCCTTTCCTGTGGAATTGTCACACTGAGAGGACACTTCTGTCCTTTGTCTGAGAAGAGCTCTGCTTCAGTGTAACCCTACTCTTGTAAACAACATTGACAACAATAACCGTACACTGGATTGAAATTTAGGCATCTGAGAAATACTCTGCAGTTACCCATTGAAACCAATACGGATATCACCCAAGAGAATGTGCACAGTCAGATTATTCTCTTCTTCAGAATAGTAGTAGTAGTAATAGTAGTAGTAGTAGTAGCAGTAGTAGCAGTAGTAGTAGCAGCAGCAGCAGCAGCAGCAGTAGTAGGCATCCTTCAGTCTAGAGACACTATGGTAAGGTGCTCTGAATAGAGGTCTTGGAACAGCATCTAGTGTGGCTGAGAAGGCCAGTTCGAGAGTGACCATCCCTTCCACACTGGAGACAAATACAGTCTGTCCCCTGTCCAGCTCCCTGTTTTGGCTGGTTTTGGGACTACTTCGTTGCCTTGGCCTGCTGGACAAGGGTCTCTTCAAATTGGGAGAGGCCATGATGCACCGCCTGCCTCCAGGCTGAACGCTCAGATGTTAGGGTTTCCCATCTGTTGAGGTCCATTCCTAAGGCCTTCAGATCCCGCTTGCAGATATCCTTGTATCACAGATATGGTCTCCCTATGGGGCGATTTCCCTGCACTAATTCTCCATACAGGAGATCTTTTGGAATCTGACCATCGGCCATTCTCACGACATGCCCAAGCCAACACAGAGGTCGCTATTTCAGTAATGTATACATGCTAAAATTCCAGCTCATTCTAGGACTACTCTATTTGGAACTCTGTCCTGCCAGGTGATAGCAAAAATGTGTCGAAGACAACGCATATGGAACGTGTTCAGCTTCCTCTCCTGCCATGCACAAAGGGTCTTGGTTCTGTATTCTTCAGAATACAACCTTGCTTTTACAAATGACCTAGAGGGACATGGACTCACTGTTCAAATAACAAAGCCAAGCAACCAGAAGTGACAATTGTGAAGATTTACTCCTAGCCCATTATACGATGGTGTACAGAGAAAGACCCACATCCCTTCCCAGACTTCAGAGTGATTTCCCCTAACAGCAGTGGTATCGTCTCCCTTTGGTGGCACTGTCACTCTTGCATCCCCCTATGACTTTGTCTTGGGGATTAAGCTTCCGATCATTAATTCCAATGGCCACATGCTCAGCCCTAGGAACAACATCATTTCTCTTGCCCATAGAGTCCAGCGAGAAATCTAGCCCAAGGGCAAACCAAGGCACCAGTTCCCCGAGTCCAGTATGAGTGACTGTGACAATACTAATGAATGGGAAAGGTCATGGGATTATAGAACAGAGTGCTTCAGAGAGGATACAAGAGGAATTTCAGATTATGATCCTGAGAATTATATTGGACCAGATACAATTAAACTTTAATGTGTGAAATGTCTTCCCTACTATTACTCTAAATTAGGGATGGGCACGAGTCACTTCGTGCTGGGCCGTAGCGAGTCATCAGCATGGCCTTTCAGTGCCACACGTTCCTTTTCTCCCCGCCAGCTCCTCCACTCACCAGCTGGTGGATGTGGCTTGTCTCCTCCTCTTTGTGCAACCATCCAGTCGCAGCAGGAGCGCATGCTTCCCTCCTCCGGCAGGTGGCCATTCAGACAAGGAGGCGAGGCAGGGATTCCTGCCGTGCTGCCTTTGAGTGGCTGGCTGCCAAAGGGGGTGGAGGAGGGAAGCACACACTCCTGCTGCGACTGGGTGGTCGTGGGAGGAGATGAGCACTGGGCACTGGCTAGTGAGTGGAGTTGGGTTAAGGGAACATGCAGCGCCACAAGTGCCATGTGAACAACTCCCTATCTACTCTAAATTAAAAAAAAATTAGTCCAGGTTTTCCCTTCTTTTTCTTGCAATCTTTTTGCACAGCTATAACAGTTCAATTACTGCTTGTATGAGACCTCACCCCACTTCTCTGCCTCCAGTCCCTTAGACAAGCCCATGCTAAAGCCAGTGAAAAGATCTAAGAGGAAAAACAAAAGGTCAAAGATACTGACAGGAGAAGATCACAGAAACATCACAATTTTGCTGCATGTTTTTGGCTTCTCTGGTGTGTATTTACGCTGGCATAGCACAAATGGCAGAACTGTTAGGCCTGAACAAGTTAAGAAATCAGGGTGGAGAATGTATCGGCCCCATGGTGCCTCAGTTGTGGAGTCCTGCAGGGTTCGATCATCTCCCTAGAAAACTAAAAATCGGGCCTTCTTGGCAGTGGCCCCTCGCCTTTGGAACAACTTACATGTAGAGATCCTCCTGGCTCCCTCACTGAGGGTCTTCAAGACTATTTATTTATTTATTTATTTATTTATTTTATTGTATTTATACCCCGCCTATCTAGTCATTTTGACCACTCTAGGCGGCTGAAGACATGACTATACAGGCAGGCCTTCCCTACAGCCATTACCTAACCTATCTCCCCTTTTCTTTTCTTTTTCTCTCCTTCTTCTTTTTTCTTCTTTTTTCCATTCCCATCTTGGACTAATCTGGATTTTATCTTAGTTTATTTTTATATTACATGTAAACTGCCCAGAGTAGACACGTTCTAGTCACAGAACAGTTGAGCTGGAATTGAACCCAAGGGTAACTTAATCCAATTCTCTGTGGGTACATGAAATGCACTGTTAAAGCAGACTGGATGGCCCTTGCAACCTCTTTTTCCAAAACTTTCCATGAAGAAGAGTCCACCACTCCCAACGTTCTATTGCCAAATAGCTTTCACCTATTATTTCTTCCTAACAATCTTCCCAATGTTTCCTTAAAATCTTCATATTGACATTGAAATATTGGGGGTCTGGGGTTTTTGTTTGTTTGTTTGTTTTTTTGGAGCTGTAGAAAAAAATGAACCTGTTTCCTTAAAATCTTCATATTGACATTGGAATATTGTGGGTCTGGGTTTTTTTTTGGAGCTGTAGAAAAAAATGAACATGCTCTTTCTTCTACAGAAGAGCCTTTCAGATATATGATGGTTAACCTACCACCTCTTAATCCTTTTTTTCTCCTGGCTAAACATACCCAACTCCCTCACCATTCTTCACATTGCTTGGTTCCCAGACCTTTTATCATCTCTGTTCTGCCTCTTCTGAATCCATTCAAGCTTGCTGATATCCTGCTCAATCTGAGATATCTAGAACTGATCACAGTACTCCATGGGATAACTAGCCACAAAGTGGTAGTCTTACTTCCCTCTGGAGACTAATCTGGACATTATATTTCTATCAATGCAGCCTACAATTGCATCAGATTCATTCATTCATTCATTCATTCATTCATTCATTCATTCATTCATTCATTCATTCATTCATTCTGCTCTTTCTGCATCACACTGCTGATTCGTGTCTAAGTCCTGAGATAGTTCTTGTATGCACTACTTTCAAACCATATGTTACCCATATTTTATCTGTGATTTATTCCTGCCCAGATATAGAACCTTCCCTCCCCCATCCCCAAAAACCATTTTGTTTGATTTGGCCAAATCATTTATAAAGCTGTTGAACAACACTGATGCCAGTCCTGGTGCTGTGCTTAGGGGACTTGATAGGGACTTTGAATATAATGGTTCTAGTCCCATCAGAGCCATTAAACTCATTGAATAATCTTGGGCCAATCACTTTCTTACATGGTTGTGTGAAGATACAATGTATCAGTGAACAAGATCCATGAACACTGTCTTGAGCTCATTAAAGGAAAAACGTAAGTCTAAATGTTGCTTTGGCTAGCATGTTTGTTTATACTATCAACATCTCTCTGCCATGTTGAAACTTACAGGAACCAAAAAAATTATATGAACAGAGCAACAGAAGCTGAAAGGTGACTTCAGCTGTCTGAAGCCTTCTATACAAAAGTAGTCATGTCAGGAAACAAATGTCTGAAATAACAGGGAGAATTTTACAGCTCAGGGATTTTTATAACCACTGCTTACAGTCTGCACAACTGCAAAGCAAATAAAAAAAATCCACACTGCCTTCAATTAAATTCTGTTTAGGTATGCTCTTGATATAGTCCTACCTCCTTCTTTTGAATTTCTTACAATAAATATTAGTAATGCAGATAAGTAATGAAGAGAATAAAAGGCATTCTTAAGTGTACTTTGTGAAAACACTGTAACATTTTAGACACAGCAGTTGTGTGCACAAGGCAGGTGGTATACTGACCAAATTTACTTTGCTAAGCTTCTCAGAACCTTTCAAGACCTCCTGGGCTAATACATACATAAATTCAGTTTTTGAATAAAGATGAATTTAATTGCTTTTCTGATCTAATTCCTCAATTCCTACAGAATTGCAAATAAAGAGATAAAGAGATCCCTGGCTTCCTGAAGCATCAACATGTACCTTGACCCACACTGGATGTGCTTTGTGACATCTGGAGGCACTGGGACACCCGACATTGTCACAATTTCGCTACAGTGACATTCGGGCAAGTCCTAGACATTGAAAAAAGTTTTATTGGCTCTCTCTCTCCATTTTACTTTAAAGATGAGCATTCAGTTAAGTTATAATAAGGCCACTTGCCTATATTACATTGCCTCCAGACAACCAGGTACTGTTGTTTCATTTTTCTCAGGCTGTGTATGAAAGCCAGGGGAACCTTGGACTCTAGATATTTTAGAACTCAGCTCCCCAGAAACCCCAAGCTGCATTGTCAAGGATAGGAGTTTTAGTCCAAAACATCTGAATGCCAAAGATTCCCCAAGCCTGTGTTATGCTAATAAGCACAACTACTTAACTGCAGTTGTGATCTTTTCACTCAGTGCTGTACCAACACCTACTATAAATCATTACACAATCATGATATTTACTGTACATTTAGCTGATGTTGCACCTTGATCATTTGAATTAGTGTGATTGACTCTAGAGCCCACATTAATTTCATTCTTAAAAATCACCCCCAAAGCTCTTCTTAAATACCAATGGCATTGCAACCCTTGCCTCGTTTGCTTTCACAAGGCTGCTTTAGCGTAAATTTCTATCAGAACCGGAAGTAATCTGAAACATGGGAAGATGTATAGGAGGAAGGATGCGTTGAGACAGCAGAGACCATCAAGAAAGGATCGCTCTCACAACCACCCAAAGCCAGGAAGAAAGACCTAGCAATGATGATGAAAGGAGTGGGGCCACAGCAAGCATTTGGGAGGATAATGACAGAAAAAAGCAGACAATGGCATAGAGATGAAGGAAAGGAAGCAAAGTTGGGGATTTGTGTGTCAATTTGAAAGGACACTGGCTCCAGATCCATAGTCCAAGGAGACACTGCGCATCTGAAGAAGAACATCTGTTCCTACCTCACTTCTGTAAGGATTTCTGCTCTTTGTGAATAAGCTACATGTACTGCCCAACTCACCAGAACTGCTCCCTCTTTTGATTAGAGAATGAAAAACACTGAAACTCTTGAATATGAGGTTTAGTTAGATACATTGCTTCTTGTTCTGGAACTGTAGATGTCCAGCACCAGCAAAAGAAGAAGGGAAGTTCTTAATAAAGTCTTTCCTTCAACAGAACAAAATACTGTATGGGCATAACTGATGATGATCTGACGAATGCTGTATTCTAGCTCTAAGACCAAGCAAGACTGGGGAACTTTTGATTCCACATCAGATATTGCAGTGCAACTCCCATCAGTCCTGATGGGGCAGAGGAAAGCTACAGGCCAATAGAGGGCCACTGGTTCATTATTAGCCCATAGATAAGAGCATTCGAGCACGGAGAATGCAAAACCTACACATGTATCCCAGCTCAGGATGCACATGGAAAGCCAGTATCTGTGCTCACTCATACTCTCCAAATGGATCAGAGCAATTATGAACTATTTGGGTTGTTCTGATAAATGGAAATGTATTTTGCACTATTATTATTGAAATCTCAGCCCACTGTAAGAGTTAAATGAAGAATAGGGGATGAGTCGCATGCATTTAATAACACACAAGAGAAAACCCTTAATAGGATATTCGTCATTTGCTGAAAAGCAAAACCATTAATTTCTTCTGATCATTTGCTATCTCCATGGAGAAAAATCACCATTGGCTAAATAAATACTAAAATGATTACCAATTTAATATTACTAAAATTAAGTATCTTCTTTACAAACAACGGCTACTCCACACTCATTAAACTCTAATATTTAGAACTTTATTATTTCATATCCAAGAAAAGGAATATTTAGAAGAACCGGAACTGTTAATTGAGAGAGAACTGCACAAAGAAATTCCTATTTAATTCAGTAAATTAATCCTGTTTGTGATCTAAGCAAGATAAGCTATCAAGGCCACAACAGTACTATCTGTGCTCCCCTATATTTAAAGCTATGTCAAAATGACAAACACATTTTGAAGATTAATTTTCTTTTCTCTTGGGTTCATAATGAAAGTGTTGCAATACAATTTAAAACTTTAATCATTTTCAGTGCCCCTTTAGCATGAATGCTGTTTTGTAGCTGTATTATAACAAGTCAGATCTCGTGCTGTAGTGTATTAAAAATTGAATCTGATGCTGCTCTGTGATCCAGCAGCTTGCAACAGAATAAATAAAACTGTTCACTAGAAGACAAATTCACCAACATAGTGACCTGAGCTACTACAGTTATAAATTCAGGGTTTTTTTTTGTATAAGTTCAGTTCTATCAAGTAGAAGGGATTTTAAAAATGAGTGATATTCTTTTCCCACATCATCCTAGACAGTGGTCCCCAAACTTTTTGACACCAGGGACCGATTTAGTTGAAGACTATATGGGGTGGGTGGGTGGCTTACTTGTTATGCAGTAGGTTGGGTTGTTGGAGGATAGATTTGAATCGAGCTCATAAAGAAAATGTCGAGCAGGAGCAGGAGGTGAGCTGCAGTTGAAGCTACGCCTCCTGTTAGATCAGCAGTGGCTTAGAACCTAATGCCGTGTTTCCCCGAAAAGAAGACAGGGTCTTATATTAATTTTTGCTCCAAAAAATGCATTAGGGCTTATTTTCAGGGGATGTACAACCATCTACATTTTTTCAAATACAGTCATATCATCTTCTTCTGGTTGCTGCACAATGGTGGAGGGCGGAGTTTCACTTAACTAGGGCTTATTTTTGGGGGTAGGGCTGATATTATGAGCATCCTGAAAAATCCTACTACAGCTTATTTTCAGGTTAGGTCTTATTTTCAGGGAAGCAGGGCAGGAGTGCGCTGACAGGAGGCGGAGCTTCACTCACCACTTAGCTCCTGCTCACCGTTCACCTGTTCTGGCGGCTCAGTCCTTCCCGGGGGTTGGGGACCCCTGATCTAAGATATTAGACAGTACTACTATCTCTTATCTTTATTAAAGATTACCAGGGGGTCTATCTGGATTTCACAAACAAGCAATGAGTGAAACTGTAGTTGAAAAAAATCCACATTGCAAACTATTGGCCATGGAGAATCAGATCCTGAGGAATGATTCAACCACTGAAACTGAATCACTCTTACAGATCAGGGTGAATTCATTCTGGCTTCATCTAGATAAACATAAAAGGTCTCAGAATCCCAGCCCCTGTGAAAGCCTGTTAAGTAAATAATTATACAACTAGTTTGCATTTATCCTGTGAGTTCTGGTCTTTTTTATTTATTTATTTATAGACAGTCAGAGGCATTTTCACAGAACAGCAACAGCAGAATTCACAGAAATGGTGTGTATGGAAAGCAATGTAACACCATGGTAAGGAAGATGCCTGGTGTTTCTGTTCTGTTCATGTTTCCAAATGAAGAGTGCTCCCTAATGGGGAATATGGGCAAGACAAGAGAGGGAAGAAATCCCCATTAAACAGCAGGTATCTTCACCCTGGCAGGGTTCAATTTTCTCCAGACACCATTTCTGGTAGGAAAAACGATGGTTTTCCCGCAACTGAAATCAGAAACAGAAAAGGCATTTTCTGTACAAAGAGAGACACAGCCCTTTGTGGAAAGGTAAAGAAATGGGTGGCATATGTAAAACCGAGGGGCAGTTAAGCTTTGTGAGGCCTTTTGGATGTCAGTAGCCCCCCTTCTCTTTGGGTAAATTTACCTGGTCCTGGTAATAATCAGAATGGAAACTGAAGACACATATTCTGTATTTTTAAAAGCCTGCATCTTCTTTTTTCTTTTTAAAGATTTCATGACACTTACCTCAGATGTGCAGGTAATCCTTCGAGGATGGGGTGCTTCCTGTTGCAATTGATACACTAGGAGGCAGAAGTGAAATAAACTGCATTATAACGCTTACCACAAAACTTGTTTCAAGCATCAGAATGCTGGGCAGTATCCTCTTTTGCAGCTCTGCTGGCACAAGAAGAGTGACATCAAGGGCAGCACCCAACTGCTGCTAAGAGTTTCTGCTTTGATTTTGGGTTGTGTGTGACTTTGTCTCACTGTATGCAAGTTACCTGCAACCGAGAATCAAAGAAGGAACTCTTTAACATGCAGTAATCTGCTGCTACTGGTGATGTCACTCCTGCTGTGGAGGTGGAGCTATGGAACAGGATACTCACTATTAGCTTTTAAACTGCCTTTTTACATTTCTCATAGAAAATCATCTCTCTACACCAATGACCAGCATAATCAGATTATTTGGATGCCACTTTTTCATAATTAAATTTGGTTCAAAATTCACCTATAATTCATTGCTAGATATTATATGCTGGCAAGCTGGAACTGACTTAGAGCGAGCCTAATACAGCTTTCAAGGTATGTGAGATATTTCAGGAACGGTTTTACCATTTCCACACCCCCAGTGAGTTTCCATGGCTGAGGGAGGCTTCAGACTCAGGTCTCCTAAGTCCTCGTCCATCACTCTATCCACTACACCACACTGGGGATCATAATTCAATAGCAAATTACAGCGAAAACACATAATAAACCACAAACAAAGCACATATCAGTATTAAAGGTGAAAACAAAATAAAAAGTAAAAAAGACAAAAACATGGAGGCACTTATATATATTAATGTGCGCTTTCATGGACAAGTTCATTTCATTAGACAATCAGTATTAAAGGTGAAAACAAAATAAAAAATAAAAAAAGACAAAAACATGGAGGCACTTGTATATATTAATGTGTGCTTTCATGGACAAGTTCATTTCATCAGACAAGATGAAGTGGACTTGTACACGAAAGCTCACATTTTAAAAATATAAGAGTTAGTCTTTAAGGTGCCACACATTCTGTCTTTTTTTTTAAACTTTCTGTTTTTACTTTGTTTTCACCTATAAAGCTTGCACAAACAAACATGGCTACCCTTTCGACCAGTACATATCAGTAGTAGCTATTCCTTTACCAAAATATCAACGTGCCTGAGGGAAGGGCAAAATGTAACTGTTTAATTCTAGTCCATTGCTTCTATCAGTAATGGGGAAAATGTGATACTTCAAATATAGTAGGGCCACAACTCCCATTATCTCTAGCCAGTATGACCAACAGTGGAGCATGATGGGAGTTACAGTCCAGCAGCATCTGGAGAGCCCTATTTCCTTACTCTCAGCTTAGATTATTGCCAGGATATCTAACAACAGATTCCAGTGCCCACTATGATTTTTAAATAAACTGGGGATAAGCGTCCATATAAGAACCACTCAAGAGAAGGGCATCGTCTCATTGTCTGCAAGTCTTCATTATAATAAAGGCTGAACCGCATTATTCCTACAGATTCTAGCATATACTCTAAAATGAACAAAAATAAACAAACAAGACACAACCCCACTTTCTTCAAGAAAGGTTGTTTTTCATAGATTTATTATTCTTATTTTCAACAGGAGACAACTCGCATCCATTTCTCGGTGACAAGTGCTGGATGTATGACTGTTATGATGAATGATGTTTAATATAAGCGACACAATGAGTGCCAATTTTATCCTTTAATCATCAGCTTCAAGACAAAAGCCTGCTTCAAGTCACTTTTCGTGTTAATGGTTTTATATTAAGTAACTGGCTTGGCATATGACAAGCAACTGATATAATAAGTTATGACTCAAAAGCTGCACAGTGGGACCCTTAAGAAGCTCTGAAGCAGACAAAGGTTCTGACAATAGCGATTATGGGATAGCAAGCTATGGGCAGGGGATTCTTGAAGACATGGCAGTTCCTTCCAGGCTCTGGAGAGGAAAAAAGCCTAGACACGAATGAAATGAAATGAAGGATGGCATTACATTAATTTCAATCCAGAACTGACTTAAATCACTAGTGAACACTGTAATGAAATAATGATAATGACAGATAAGTCCTGTGGACCAGCTACTCTGTAGCAGGGACAAATGAATGCCCCAGGATAAAAACACATGGAAAGTATACAACTACCAGCTTCTTCAAGCTCCCTAAGAAAGCAAAAATAAGACAGACCTCTTTTGATCTAAATCAAACTGTTTTCAGATGAACAATCTTTTATTGTTCCAATTTTTCTTATAAAGAATCATACAAACAGATGAAAATTGCAGCAAATTCTAGGGTTAAATTTAACGGGGGGGAGCCCCATTCCTCCACATCATGGACCACACTTCACCCCAAAGTCTATAATGACCTCAAAGGGTTAGATCATTCAGCATCTCTCCAGGACTTCGGTTTATGAATATTTTCATCTAATGCATGTATGTACGAAATTATATGTATACTCAGAATGAGGAGCAAACGGTTTAATAAAGATTTCCCCCTGAAAACAGGTAGATTTAGCCACTAAAGTGGCTGCTCTCTTCCTCTAACAGAGGCAATGCAAAGTGCAGTATCATGCCCTTCACTCACTATACCATCACAGCTAAAGTCAATCATAATTTGGGCACAAGGTTCAAAAGCAGCGCTTTACAGGACTAGTGAACATCAGGATACAAAATTGCCTGTTACAATTCACAAATACAATCCTAGTTTTTTGAACAGAAGAAACCAATTTAACAGAAAAAGGCATCGTTGTGTGAATTCATCGTTGTGTGAGGCACTCGTTGTGCGAGGCACCACTGTACAATCCTAGTTTTTTTAACAGAAGAAACTGGGCCGTCAAAATCTGAACTTAAGATATCTTCTTTGCAAAGTACAGTACAGAGCTTCTAGCATTACCTTTGGCTTCCGCCACTGCAGAGCACAGCCCGTCAAACAGGACTGTAAGTACAATGTGTCTCTCAATTCAAGACTCCATTGGATGAATTTAAAAATACTGACAATGCCAAAGGGGTGTTTGTGTTCTATGCATGTGTCCTCAGAAATAACCTCATCAAATACTCACAGTAAGATTTCCATACTGGTGGCCTGTATTCATCAGTATCTGAAACAAACAATAACATGTATAAATATCATAGCAAAACAAGCAACAAAGAGAAGGTACTGCGGAAAAACAGAGGTTAATAACATTCAAAAGATTTGCACATAGTAGGGAGATGCCATTACAATTAGCAGTTCATTTTTCAAGCTGATTTTCCAAAAGTCACAGCTAGAAAATAATTCATTTTGCCCAGATGTATTCACGTTAAAGAGCAGCCCACACCTAAGCACTACAAAATGTAAAGAAAATAAAATTATAACAGCTTGATCATCCTTTTCAACTTTGAGCTCACTAAAACTAATAAAACGTTGAAAAAGATGAAATATGTTAAACCTATAAAAGAAGAATTGATCTGAAACTACATAGAGATCTTCTGTTCATATATTTAAGAGATCTTGTGAATTTGCTTCTCCTGGCCAGGCTCAGAACTAGCTCTACAAGACTCCCAAGTGACATCATTTACAGACGCCTGCAGCTACAGTACAGCTAAGCCCAGGGGATCATCATCAAGGTCATCACAAAGTCAAACCTACCCAGTCAAAGATACCAATTCTTGTTTTAGCATAGACAGCATTATGATCACAATTTTAAAAATATATTCTGTGATTTCCCCATTACTGTCACTTATACAGCTGCTCTTGCTGCCCTATAGTATAGTTGATTAGAAGTTTCCATGTCAAGAAACAAGAGGAAAAGGTTGTGTTTTTAAATTTAATATAGTCTTTGGGCCTATTATTACTCACTGATGCTGCAGTTCTACTTCCTTAATTCTGCTGTTTTCTGAAAGCCTGAAATCTCTATCTACTTGTAGCTTTTACCTAACTATATGAAATCAAACAGGAATTTCTAACTTCTCTCCCCCAATCCCCTCAGGAATAACTTCTGTTGGGACAAGGGTCTGACCCAAAATTTGCTTTCTGGGGTGAAACACTGAGCAGCATATCAATTCCCTACAGAGTGCTAGATCTATGAGTAACACTTTGTTGCATACAGGGCTTGTCTCTTTAAGAGACTAGTTTAAACTACTCTCCAGTTTGAATTGGTGTTATTTTCTTAAAAGATCCAGCTAGAACTGATAGAGAGTAGTCTGTCTTGTATGGTGACTTCAAAGTATTGTGTTGCTGTTTCCATTGTTTATGATATACATGTTAAAAAAGCAGCAGGGCCCACCCCATGCCCCATACATTGCATCACCGGCGTGGTGACTTCAAAGTATTGTGTTGCTGTTTCTATTGTTTCCATGTTAAAAAAACCAGCAGGGCCCACCCCACGCCCCATACATTGCATCACCGGCGACAAAGAGCCAAAGTGAAATGCCCTTTTGACAGTGTTAGCATCTACAAAAACACATTTGCATTGTAGTCCTATCTGGAACTAGCTAATTACTGTATTACTAATGGAGTCCAATTGATTTAGATAGGAAGAAACAAGCTCCATGGTGTCTAATTGGCTCAGTTCTAAATAAGTGGACATTTGACCTCTTTGGGGAATCAAAGAATGGAAGTCACTTCTGTTTACCTGGGGTAGAAAGTAAGATGCAAGAAGGGTGCATTCCTGTGCTAGTGCTTTGAGCCAAGAGAGGGAGTGGGGATGGAGTCTTGATTTTCTTGCTTAGGGGGTCGGGGGGTATGCCAAAACCAACTTTTTGATTTAAGTCCTTTTTTTTCTCATCAGGGTATTTCATTTTTATTCAGGTTTGTCTGGGTGCCTAGATTACCTATAATTTCCGATATTTTCATTAGGATAGCAAACTGACCCTATGCATGCTTTTACTGCTCCTCTGTTTCTTCTTACGACCTTGCTAGGCTTTCCCTGAGATAAAATGACTGCCACCAGCTGAACAGCTAGCCGCTGCAGGCCTCACCCAACCTTTAGGGGTGGGTGGGAGAGCTGCCTCAAGGGGCTGATGCCAGCGCAACACATAGAGCCTTTCCTCTGGAGCCCCTCTGGCGACTTCCCTCAGCCTGTTCCATATTCTGTACGCTCACTTGCTGCTTTCAACTGCAGCGGACATCACGATCACTAGGCCTGAGGTGAAAGGAAGCGCTCACCCAAGGTTTGCTTCTGCGTGTGGAGTGGGTAGTAGTGTGTGTGTGTGTGTGTGTGGGCACAGCTTGTCCTTCCGCATTTCTGTGCCAGCCTTAGGTCACAAGGCCAGTTTTAAACACACACCAAGTTCATCCTTCACAGGATGTAGCCTTAAAAGGTGGCATGCGTGTGTGAGTGAGCCATCACGTATGAAATGCTGTGCTCTGAGTCACCATTTGTTACCAATGTACGAGACATGCCTCTATACTGAAGCTCCAATCAATGTAGAATACAGGCTTGTACAGTGGACCCTCGACTTACAGACGGCTTGACTTACAGACTTTTCGAGTTACAGACTTCTCTGGCCACAAAATTTAGGTTCGACTTGCAGCCGGAGAATCGACCTACAGACCAGAAAAAAAAACAAAAATGGAACAAAAATGGCCGGTTACGGCATTAATCGGTTTTCAATGCATTGTAGGTCAATGGAGACTCGACCTACAGACTTTTCGACCTGCAGCCACTGTTCCAATACGTATCAATTCCGTAAGTAGAGAGTCCACTGTATAGCACTTAGGTTTAGCTAGTAGAACACTGGCACGACTTCGGGCATCAAAGAATGCAATGGCTTGAACATATGCAGAGGGAAGCCACGAACTTTACCTCTCTTGTCATCATTTTCTTCATGTGAGCAGATTTGAAAACCAGAGGTGTCAGCCTACATGTAGGCTCTAAACATGAGCAACAGTGCCAATTTCCCAGGGTCCCAACTGGAACCCTAGAGCCTGCATGCAAGAGGTAAGTACTCCTCCTCAGACTCATCATTGCTGAATGGAGAAGAGGGGGTTAAGAACAAACTGCTCCTCTGTCAAGCATCTTGAAGAAGCAGCATTCTATACCATCTGAATAGGGGTTCAGATGATTTGGTCTAGCCCAGTGGGAGGGGAAATCTTGGGATAAGCCTGTGATTTTAAATGCTGGTGTGTGTGTGTGTGTGTGTGGGGGAGCTGGAGAGGGTGCAAGCTGCTCTTCCTCAGCAGGATGAAATAGGCCCTTAGCACTTTGGTTTATGTACTAAAATTTCAACGCATTAGTGCAGGAGGAGTACTGGTAGTGTGAACTATGTCATGCATCTGTATTTTATCTTAGAGCCTTAAAGAGCTGTTTTCTTTGTGGATCTTCCACCTCAGGCAATAAAACAATGTTTTCTTCCAGGGTCTTTTTGCTTTAAAGAAACATTGGCAGTACTTCAACCCTTCCCACGGGCCTGCAAGCAACTCTTGCTTTGGCACAGGGCTGGGAAACCGACTCAAGGGTGTCTAATTTGCACCGTCCACTTTGGACTACCTCTCTATGACTGTGGTTATTGTTTCGTTAGTTGATAAAATGGGGAAAATTCACACTTTTGGAAGCTCGTTGTGTTTGCATGAAAAGAAGAAAACTCAATGGAATGCAGGGAGTGAGACACAGTGTCATCAAGGAAGTACAACCAAGTGTGAACAGTTTCTAATCAATATGGCAAAGAAAATAGATATGGCAGAACTTGTATCTGCCCCTTTAACAGCAATATTTGCATGAAAACTCACTTTAGAAGTAGATTATTTAGGAGGAAGAACAATGTGTTCAATTGTATAAAACACACACCAAGACAGCCAAACAGCTGCGCTGGTATCATTACAGATACATCTTAGTTAAAAGAAATGAAGATGAGTTAACTGAAGAGTAGGACTATTTTTGCCAAAGTGTCTTGATTAAATCTTCACCGAGGAAACTTTGTATTAAAGCTAATATTTGTAAATCAAATGCTGCAAGGAGTGATTTATACCATGCAGGTGTTCAGAAATGTTTTGCTTTAAATACTGCCCACATACTTTACCGCCTTACTGTGTTTGCACAACCCAGGTCATCAACATTACAGAACCAAATCCCAAGCATTATCTGATAAACACACTACATCACTGACAGCTTGGCAGAAGAGTTTTACGGCATTTTCCATTGCTTTTCAGGGTGGCGTTCATATATTATTGAAAGAGGATTGAAAAAGCAACTACTTCTTAATTTTCTTTTTGAAAAAATTAAGGTCCTGAGGATAGACTCGAAAGCATAGCAGCATCATTGAAACCATAAGATTAGGTACCATGCACTCAAAAGAGTGACATCCACCTCTCCCCCTGCATGTGAAAAAAAATGGGCCTGGCAATACAGCAAAACAGAAGCACATGGGACCAATGACATATTGGTACAGAAGAAATGGCCTATGTGTGGCATCTCTGTAGAGCAGGGTTTCCCTAGGGGGTCACAAAGGGTCTTCTGGGAGGTGGGGGTGTCACAGGTTGTCTTATATGTGTTGTAGCCCTCGTCAAATAATTTCTTCTTAGACCTTTCAGAGCAGGTTACTAAAGTTAGTATGTGTATGTCTAAGAAACAGGCCCTTTGTGGGGAGAAAGAAGCCTCTACTTTCTGAGAAGGGATGGCTGGGACTATTTTTTTACAAAAAGAAAGAAATTCCAGTGTAAAGATACAAGTTCTGCCACTTCCACAGCAAAATCCCAGAAGGGGGGCACAAAAACAAATACGTAGCCCACTTCTCCTGCAGTGGGTGCAAGGAAAGCATTGTGGCAGTTTTTGAGGGGGGTCCTCTCTGCATGATGGTTTTGCCCTTTCGCCCGCCACTCCCTATGTATTGGGATGTTCTTTCATCTCCTGGCCCATCTTTGAAGTCCTTTGCCTTCTCTTCTCCCGACCGTGAACCTCCCTCAGCCTGTTCCCTTCCCCAGTTTTGAAGTGATGGTAGTGGATAACTAAAGGAGAGGTAAAAGAAAAGGGAAAAGGGGGTGTCAGGAATTATCTGATGGTTTTGCCCTTTCGCTCCCCCCCCCCGGGTACTGGGATGTTCTTCTATCTCCTGGCCCATCTTTGAAATCTTTTGCCTTCTCTTCTCCCAACCACAAACCTCCCTCAGCCTGTTCCCTCCC